AGCACCTGGGCCGCGGCTGGCGTCCGGCGGGGGCACGCTGCCTGCCCCCTTCCGCCATGAGCTCGGCCGGCGCCGCGGACGCCCTGCCGGCGGGGTAAGTGCGCGGTGGGGGCGGCCCCGGGGTGGGGTGGGTGGTTGGGGGACGGGCGCGGGGCCGGGCATTTCCCCTGCCACCGGCCCACCGCCCGCACTGCGGCTTCCAGCCCCTCACCCCTGCCAGGCGTCGCGCCCGGCGTCCGGGAGCCAGGGAGTGGGAGAGGGCTGCGGACACTCGCGCGAGGAGAGTGGAGGCGCCGGGGACCCAGGGGCGATCACTCAGCTCTGGGTCCCAACTTTCGCACGAAGCTGGCTGTAGTAACGGCCACGTCAGAGCCGTCTCCCTCCCTTCGTGGCGTTTACACCTGTGGGTGGGCTCTGTTATTATCATCTCCGTTACAGATGAAGAAACTGAGGCATAACTCTTGGGTGACCTGCATCCCTTCACCCGGGAGGTGAAGGGTGTACCTGGGATTTGAACCCAGATCTCTCTGATTCCAGAGCCCCCACCTGCATGCCATACTGTTTCATCTTCTGGGATATTTGAAGGAATTGAAAAGCTAAGATATGAATCAGCTGTGCCCACTGGGTGCAGCAGGAACTGGGGTAGTAAAGGTGGGTGTTGTCACTTTCAATATGGCTCTCCCGCTCATCCCCACCCCACTGAGGAACTGTGTAGAATCCCTGCACTGCCCCTGTTAGCAGTGATAGAGTTAGGTGCTGGGAGATGTGGAGCAGCTCTCCCCTTCCTGGGCCTGGGTGGGTAGGGGGCGTCTGCTGGAAGCCCTGACTGCTAGGAGGTTGCTGGGTGGAGATCTGGCTCAGGTGAGCTGGGAGGTGCCTGCCCTACCTGGAGCCTCACCACCAGGGACAATATTTGCCAAGGGCCTCAGGACTAACACATGAACAGGAAGGTGAGGCTGGTGCCAGCTGCAGCTGCAGGCCTCCATAGGGCCTGTGTGTGCATCCTGGGTGAAGGCTTAGAAGTTGGGTCACTGGGGGACACCCCCCTCCCAGCCTGGGGGACGGTTGCCTGGTGAGTTTTGCCTTGACCATGTTTATTGTATGATTTTGGCCACGTTCTGTATCCTCCCTAGACTTCTGGTCCCTCCTTTGGAAAATACAGGGAGTCCAGGCCTGGCTGCTCTCTTCCTGCTCTGAGTTGAAGTCTGTAAATCTGGAGTCTGGTTAGGTCCCTTCTGCCCAGCCCTGACTAAGCACCACCCTACTGGGCCCAGAAAAGAAGCTTCTAGGAGAGAAGGCGGGCATGGAACAGGGTACCTATCAAAGAATCCTGAACTCCCAGGCTAGAAGCCACATTCATCCTCTTCCTTGCATACTTATATCCCTGCCTGAGTCCACTCTACAACTCCAGGCTCCTCTGGCCCCTCCGTGGGCCTCCAGGGCAGCAAGCTCAGTCTCCTAGCACTAGTGGATCTTCCTCATACTGAACCATACCTGCCTCCACTGCATGCTCTCCAGGTCCCAATCTTCTTTGAGGCCACACAGGTCTGTCTGCCACTGTCCCTGGTCAGTGCCATCTTGGTGGGGTCTGAGCAGAGCAGAGGCAAAGCAGTTCCACCTACACCATAGACACTCATTTAGTCACTCAACAAACACTCTGAGGCCTGCTCTGGGGCCAACCCAGTATATGAGGGTCAGTGGTAAACAAACTGAACTTTAAATCTCCACCACTTCAGAAGTTATGAAATATTTTTAAGCCTTTAGAAAAATATAACAAATAATAGAATGAACTCCATGCCCTTGTCATCCAACTTTTTAAATGTTAACATCATGCCCATTTATTTCATATTCTTCTTGTTAAGAAATAAATTATGGGGCGCCTGGGTGGCGCAGTCGGTTAAGCGTCCGACTTCAGCCAGGTCATGATCTCGCTGTCCGTGAGTTCGAGCCCCGCATCAGGCTCTGGGCTGACGGCTCAGAGCCTGGAGCCTGTTTCCGATTCTGTGTCTCCCTCTCTCTCTGCCCCTCCCCCGTTCATGCTCTGTCTCTCTCTCTCCCAAAAATAAATAAACGTTGAAAAAAAAATAAACAATACATGTTTATTTAAAAAATAAATAAATTATACCAGAGACTGTTGAAGACCCTGTGGACCATCCCCTCTTCCTTCTCCCACCATCCTGAATTTTGGTTTTGTTACTTCCATTTTTTTATTTTTAAAAAATGTTTTATATTTGAGTATAGTTGACACGCTGTGTTACATTAGTTTCAGGTGTACAGCATAGTGATTCAACTCTATATTATGTTGTGCTCACCACAAGTGTAGCTACCATTTGTCACCCTACAACACTGTTACAGTATTATTGGTTTTGTCATTCTATGTTTTTATTCTTTTCCTGAGTGTGTGTAAATCTAAAAAAAATGTAGCCTGTTCTGACTTTAAAATTTTTATATAAATACAGCATGAATCATTCTACAGCTTGCTTTTTCTCACTCAGCTTCAGGTTTCTGAGATGTAGCCTTCTTGATCCTTGCAGCTCTGGTCCCCACTTTTCCTGATGTATGGCATACCACCCGATGTAGAGTCCCCCATTTATTTATCGGCCTTCTTTATGGACATTGAGGTAGTTCCCAGCATCTTGCTATTCAAACAGTTAATATTCTTATAGGGTTGTCCTTTGTACACATGTGAGTTATCTTTTCGGTTGTCCCACAGGAGTGGAATTGCTGGGTTATAGGATATGGACATTCAGTATTTTGAAGTTATTTGGTTTCATTATAAAAGTAGTGCTGCTGCAGAGGTGCCTGGGTGGCTCAGTCAGTTAAGTGCTCGACTCTTGGTTACGGCTTGGGTTATGATCTCCCAGTTCGTGAGATGGAGTCCTGTGTTGGGCTTTTGCTGACAGCATGGAGCCTGCTTGGGATTTTTCTCTCCCTCTCTCTCTACCTCTCCCCTGCTTGCTATCTCTCTCTCTCTCTCTCTCTCTCTCTCAAAAGTAAATAAATAGACATTAAAAAAAATAATAAAAGTAATGTTGCTCCAGACATGATGGAAATACATAACCATAGAAAAAAAGTAACAACAGCTAACATTTCCTGAATACTTCTTATTGTGCTTTACATTGTCTTAGTTGTTCTTCTCAACAACACTAGGAGGTGGGTACTGCCACTCCTAGTTGATGAGAAAACTGAGGCTTATAGAGGTTAAAGAACCTTCCTAACTTTTTCCAACAAGTAACTGCTGAGCTATAGTTTGAGACCAGGGTTATCCACTTTCAATACTCTTGAAGGCCACACTGTACTAGGCCACGTCACATCCCTCAATGCCACATCATGCTCAATTTTATTCACAGCTAAGGGGACTCTCTGGAAGGAGAGTCACAATCATATATGCAATTTGGGAAGGTCACTTTGGGGGGCACCTGGGTGGCTCAGTTGGTTGAGCATCTGACTCTTGATTTCAGCCCAGGTCATGATCCCACAGTGGTGG